TCCCAATGCCCATATTAAATGTTCGCCTCATCTCAGCATCCTCAACTCCTCCCGCCTGCACCAAGTCACCTTTGTCAACTTTGATGTTGTTATCGGCAAATAATGTTGAAATAATATAAACAGACTACTACCCACGAAGCTCACACCTGAATTCATATATATCAAGATCTAAATATTCATTTAAACTATACAAGAAATAGACAGAGAACTAATGTGGGAAAATTTGTAAATCAAACTTGTGGGTACCTCTTTTAGCCATTTAAATACAGCAGGAATTTCCCATGAATCTGTAAAAATTTTAGCTCCAAGGCCTGAAGGAAATACTCTTGGAATGTTGTCCGTAAAACCACCACCTGTGATGTGAGCTATTCCTTTTACACCCCCCTTGCTGATAATGTCTAACACCTGCATACATGTACAAGTGAAGAAATATCCATATTTGGTGTCTAAATTATCACAAGCAAAATACATGTATAAACTGGAGACTAACCTGCTTGACATAGATGATGGTGGGTGCCATTAAAGCTTTACCCAATCTAATGGGTTTACCATTGTTATTTGGAAGCTGATCATTTAAAGAAAGGCCACTTTGAGCCAAAACCCTGCAGAAACAAGAGTGGTGCAGCAAGATTTTAATATATTGATGAACTTAAATAGAAAGACGATCCATCTATATGTCAGAACCCGACAGTGCAGGTCTTCTGGCACAAGATTACTAACCTTCTCACGAGGGAAAAGCCATTAGAGTGCACACCACTGGATGGAAGACCAATGAGGACATCTCCAGCCTCAATGTCCTTCCCATTGATGACCTCATCCCTTTTGACAATGCCAACAGCAAACCCACTCAAGTCATATTCTCCCTTGGCATAAAAATCGGGCATCTCCGCTGTCTGAAGTGGTAAAATTTTGTGATCTATTACTACCAGGTATAACATGGACTAAATTTGAATTGAAAAAAAAAATTTACAGGCGAGTCTCGAAAAATTACCTCGCCACCTAAGAGAACACAATCAGATTGTTGGCATCCATCAACAATCCCCTTTATCACCTACATTGATTTAACGAGAAGTCATAAAGTTGCTAATCTTATATAATCATGAAGATTATTTAGAGATGCTAAAAGATTAACAAAGTACGAGCGAATGTAAAACCTAAATGCTGGTGCTATTAATGGCCAAACCATGAAGATGACTACTGATACCTTTTCAGCAAGATCAACATCAAGATTACTCGTTGCAAAGTAATCTAGGAAGAACAATGGTTTTGCTCCTGAGGTAACTATGTCATTCACGCTCATAGCCACCTATCAAGAAGTATGATAAATCATCAACTAAACTTAAAAATCAAGGGAACGAACTAAACAATATAGTATACATTTTATACCAGATCAATCCCGATTGTGTCATGGATGCCAGTTTCAAATGCGAGCTTCAGCTTGGTACCAACACCATCGGTACCAGCAACAAGGTATGAGTCACCTGTTCAAAAGATGAGGTTGGATCAACAGGTAAACTTTTGTTAAAAAGGACTACCATACATGCTAATTTCAATTAGCATTTCTGCTTGCAAAGCACTCCATGATATTGCTTCCACATGTTCAGCGACGTAACATTAACTACAAACAAATGACAAGGTGTGCAAAACCCTTTAGTCGTTCAGTCAAACATTAACCGCAAGCCAATAGTTTCAATAAAATTTCTTCTAGTTAACAAAAATGAGTTCCACAAAAATTTTCAACACTCTTCAGAGCCCTTACACCATGTTCCTCATAATTGAAAGCCAAAAAAGAAGAAAGGAAGGGAAAAACAGTCTTCACAACTCCTACAGCATTGTTCGTCCCAATTGCAAGCCAAAAAGAGGAAAGAAAGAGAAAATAAAACTGAAACTTCTGACGACAACTTTCATTAAAATTTCACATTCAAATGAAAATAAAATCCCCGAAATTTATCCTATGATTCAAGTGAGTGCTAATCGATCAACAAAATGCTGCTTTTGATCGTATCATAATACATGTGGAGAAAGAATGTAGTGATGCAAGGCCTATCCACAGTTCATAAAGATATCAGATTCCCCATGAATAACAAATTACAACCTTTTATATCATCACCACTGTGGTGCGCATCCAAACAAAGATAATGGTGTATCTTAGAAGTTCCTACTAAATCATCCATCCAAATTCACATCGATAGCGAAGTAAACCTAACACAACAGTTGTACAGAGACAAAATGGTTTCTCTTGATACATCTTCTTTACCTGAAGTACCTTGATAGGAAAAGATGCTCCTTTTATATTTTTTCCAAATTGACTTAAAAGAGTGATTCAAGTCCCATCTTAGACAAAGAAACAAAAAATTGCAGTTCTATACTTATATGGATAGGCTTACAGGGCAAAACACTATATGCAAACCACCCTAAAAGTATCATAGATCAAAATACACTATCACGAAGCAACAAGATCGAATTCATAAAAGAAGTAAACTGGAACTCAACACAAGGAATCGGAAATACCCAAAGGGAAGAGGCCACCAAACCCTCCGATTCCGGGCGCCAGCTTTGCGATCCTGCGAACCAACTCGGACCCGGCATCGATGTCGACGCCGGCGTCCTTGTACGTGAGACCCCGGCTCCCGGATCCGACACCTGAGCACGAAATCCTCAGTCTCTCTATCAGCCTCGACCTCGCCACCGGCGGCAGCCGCAGAGGCCGCCCCATCGGGCTCGCGCGATTGGTCACCGGAGACGACATCTTCCTCCCCGCCATGCTACGGAGGATCGGCTCGGCCGCCGTTCCCAAGTTGGCACTCATGGTGACCGAGGAGAAGAAAGAGAGGACGCGAGAGAGGTATAGGGCTTTGGATGAGTGAAGTAGCGGACCTTTAGATCGATCTTATAGGGCTAAACTTTCTGCCGAAATGTGTGCGGATACGCTGTTGAGATTTGCTACAGCAAGAATTGGACGGTTGGATGTGAGGAATTTTATGTACATATTATCGAAATCCGCAGTCTCAAATCACTTCGTCGCTTCTCATTTAAAAAAAAAAGTATATATATATATATATATATATATATATATATACGAATAAAATAATGACTGATTTTATTAAAAGATACTCTCCTTTTAAATTTTTTTAGATAATTATCCCTATTTTTTATTTTTCTTAAACCATGTTCTCTGGTTCAAAAACTATTCAGATTACCCTCCACCTTCCACGTTGCCTCCACCATACTATTGATCACCTCCTCCTCTCCCATCTTTTCCCATCATGCATCCTTTTCTCTTTTCTCGCAATCCACCCTATCCTCTCCCCTTCTTCTATGTCGCCCATCCTCTTCTCCTTCCTCGTTGTTTACCCTTTCTCTCATTCTCCTTCTTCCTTGTCGCCTCTCTTCCCTCTCCACCCCTCCCCTTCCTGGTAATGACGAGCGATAACAAAGATGAGAATCTTTGTTAGACTATTTATTTTTATTTAATTATGTAAGATATATTATACATCTGATTATATTCTAATGATATTATCAATCAATAAAAAAAATATATAATTATAGTAAGATTCTTTAGGATATCACATTGATAGGAGAGACTATCCTAATTATCATCCTAAACCTTTTGTTGTCACATATAAAAAGACAGGACCTCATATGAACGAAACACTGATCATTGAGATTACAAATATTCTCAATCTTTCTTAGTCCCTAATTTATCTCTCTTAGCGGTCCCATGAAATATAGTAAGAGAAGATACGATAAGTCTAGTTCTCATTATAGATTGACATTATTGTGGGTTTCAGATCCGATGATGATACACCTGTAAATCAAATAAAGACATTCTAGATGACATCAAAAGGAATGCATTGTAACTCTAATATATCATTATTTGATTTTATTTTCTGGCTTTAAAATTTTTCATATAATAGTAGTATAATCATGATTTTTCTAAATTAAATATTTTAGATCTATTGGTGATCACTCTTTGCCTATGAAAAAAGTGTTATTCCGTTTTGATTTATGATGTTTGAATAATTCATGTGTATTATTGATGTACTTTTCTATTTAGTTTATCCTATTACTTACTTGCGGGCAGTGTGAAGTTCATTGTATTTGATTGATAAACCATCGTTGACAATTTATTATCAATGATAGTATTGTTGAGGAGGATAGCTTTCGATGATCGCTAGCCCAATCGCGAGCAATAATTACATACACAATAAAAACATAAAAATAATTTATATTTTTATTCCATCATAATTAAGGTATAAGTCATGAAAATAATTTATCTACTAGTTAAGAAAAAAAAAATACATGCATTAACTCCTCCCAAAATGAGTCAAGAAAACAATTTACGTGTTTATAAGATAATCATTTTTCATTCCAATCTATCATTTTACTTTCTTATTTTTTCACAAAGTGCTTGATAATGAAAGGTAACCTTATTAGATTTTGATTTTTAAAATAAAAAATTAGAATGGAATCGTTTAAAACCGATGATTTCGATTCAAAGCTTCCTTTTTCGATTTGAACTATCAATTTTATTTTATTTTATCAATTTTATAAATAAAAGCATAAAAAATATTAAAAAAATTATAATTTTATTTTTAATATTTAAAAATTGATGTGCAACTATAATGAACATAACTATATAAAAATTTAAAATTATTTTAAATAAATTATGAAATTTATTATTTGAAACGCAACAAAAGATTTCGATTTCCAAACTTAGACATCAGAATCAAATTATTTAAGGTTATTTTTTATTCGGTTTGGAGTCGATAATAAATCATTAAGTTCATTCCCATTTTCATTCAAATTACACCTATCAAGGGAAACAGTGGGCTCACCACGTGCTTCTTCCACGTCGGACTATCGGCTACCATTTTCCTTTTTTCATTTATAATTATCAATTATTATTTCCCTATTAATAATAAATAAATAAATAAATAAAGTTATCTGCTATTTATTTATTTATTTAATTATTTCCACTCCGTCCCTCTGCGTCTCCCTCATAGCTCCATTAATGGCTTCCAACTTCTTTGCCGTTCTCTTCGTCATCTTCCTCCACTCCTCACCTTGAAGCCCCTACCCGCTATGAATCCACCACGTACCCAAGAAGTTGTTCATCCCCGATGATCCGCCACGAGCAGGCGGTCAGCCTCCTTTCTCCGCCCCCTCCTCCTCCTCCTCCTCGATCTGGGGCTTGTTCGTAGCTGTTCCGCGCAACAGTTCCTTCTTTCTGAAGACGTGGGTGAATCTGGATGGAGCAACGTCGTTTGATTGGCGTGAGTCGAGTAGCTCTAGTGTAAAGTCAATCCCTTTGAGCCATTTCATCATATGTTTCCTTTATTCACAATAGATCGAGTGCGTAAGCATAATTATCTGTGAATTTTTTAGATGCAAGAGATAATCTTCAATGCATGTGTTTATATGACTAGGCATAGCTTGATTTTGTTGTACGATTTTGATATTTTTCTTCATTTCTTTGACTTGGTTTAGCTTGAATTACTTCGATGCGGTGTTGGTTTGGTGAATGTAGGTGGTTTACTCGGGCAATCGTTTACTCCTTGTATGGTTTTCGATGCTAGAGAAAGATGAGGACGGGGGAAAAGTTGGATTCAAAGAGTCGTATCGGTTTCTTTCATTTAATTGACTGGACTGGGAAATCGCAGAAGAAGTCATTCGGCCATGGCAATGCTTCCATGGGTAAGTCTATCTTCTTGGTTTTACATGATAAAGCCATTCTTTTTGGCATCAACAAGCCATAGCATTTATCTCTGCAGAGGAAGGCATTCAGGGGAAGGTGACTGGTAATGATAATTCGCCAGCATCACAACTCCATCAGGTGGGATTTGGTTGTTTAGTTGGTCACATGACTTGTACCTGTTTCTTAACTTGTTCTTTTCATTTTGTTGTTTTTTTGCCAGATTGATGAAGATGAGAAGTCAGGAATTTCGATTGCAAGGGCCAGCAGTGATGACCACAGTCATACTTATTCAGTCACAGATGGAGAGGGAAGCAGGATTAGGGCTCCAGGAGTTGTAGCAAGACTTATGGGTTTGGATTCGATGCCCTCATCAGTTAGTTCTAAGCCACATTCAACTTCAATCAATGATTCACAAGTGCTTCGAGCTAACTTTGGTGGAAACAGAAAATGTCGTTCCAGCAATGCCATCCTAAAAGATGGTGCTTATTCAAGGAAAACACTAGTGTCAAGGCAAGAAAGGATGCTAAACAGCCCAATCGAGAGGTCCCAAGTAGAAGCATTGCCTCCTAGATTGGCAAAGCCTACCAGCCACGAGTTAATTTCACCAGTTAGAACTCCTGGATTAATCTCTGCTAAGGCTACCAAGGATGAACTTCAGTCTTCTAGTTCATCTTCAAGTCCCTTAAAAGTTTCTGATTCAAGAAAGATCACGGCAAACTCTAAGAAGACATCCAAGCCTTCAGAGTCATCTGGATCATCTGCTCAGTCAGTTGCTTTCAAGTCTTCTAGGTCACAATATTTGGGTGGGTGTCAGAATGCTTTAGAAAATAGCAAGTCCTTACCAGGTATAAAAGAAACCACACAAGCTGGTGCAAAAGATAAAGGCAAATCAGTTTCACTTGCTATTCAAGCAAAGTTGAATGTCCGAAGAAGGGAAGGCTCAAGTGCAAACACTAAAAATAAGTTGATTGTGGAGGAAAATGATGAACATCATATCAACAGAACCTTGAAATTTCGGTCAATTCACCAAACAAGTAACCAGAATAAAGGAGGTGGTGATTCTTTTAATGCACCACAACAGACGATACAGAAGTACATGGCAAGTGAAAGAAAGCTTGCTCCAAAACCATCGGTATCTGACCAGAGAGACAGAAAATTACACTCTAAGGATGCTTATCCTGGACAGGACAAAGTGGTAAATGATCTTCCAGGGAACAGTAAAGTTTGTTACAAAATAAGGAAGGGTTCAAAGACTGCTGGTACTGGTAAGGATAGATTTATACTGAATAACAAGAACACCGGCAAGAAGAAATTGCTGGAGCAGGGATCCTATTCTAAGATACGTGATTCTGTTGACAATATGCCAGTAGATAAACCAAAAAAACATATTCAACATAATGTTGCGATACGCAATCATTTGAGACAGCCTGATGATAACACAAGTAATGCCGCAGATGTTGTGTCTTTCACATTCACATCCCCTTTAATAAAGCCAGTGCATGGATCTCATTCAAACAATCACGAGGAAGAAAAGATTGTCGAAAAGAGGGCTTACATTTATCCTTTTTCTGAAGCTGCTTCAGGTTCAGAGTGCAAAAATTTGTCCTCTCGCAAATTGAATACGATTAAAGGTGATCATTTAGGTTTCCTTTTGGAGCTGAAATTGAGAGAATTAGCATCCGAGACTCAGTCAACTTGCTGTAAATCAACCGAAGGTCATGGTACTGCAGCTTCTTTGCCTGACTCAAGAGATTCAGCATCCACTTTTGATGAGTCTTTCGTCCAGTCTATTGAAGATGAATTAAGCAGTAGCAATCCAAACTGTTCAGTTGCTAGTTCTCAGGTGCCTTGTGTCAGACATAAGCTGCAGGTACATTGTTCTTATGAATAGTAGTATAATTTGTGTCAGTTTACCTCTTTTCTTTGGTTTTTTCTATAATTATAGTGGCATTAATGCAGCACAAGAAATGCAGTTATCGTTCTTGTTCTTATGCATACTTGTATAACTTGTATTGTGGAATTTTAGTTCACCTCTTTTCCATGCTTGCCATTAGGGCATCATACTGACCTATGGTTAGCTGTATATTATGTAGACTGTTTGGTCAAAGCCATTCATAAGAGTGTATCTGCTATTTTCTTTCACAAGGCCAACATTTTCTTCTGTTGTTCATCAATTAATTTCTAACTACTTGACCATCTAAATAGTGATATCATATATGTAACATCTCTATAGTTTAATCTGTGACCTACTATTTACATCGCAGAATTTGCAAGATATGCTGAGTGCTACTGATGTACTCAAGCAACATCATGTGTATCATTTCAAATATAAGCAAAACTATTTTCTTACAATGCCAGCTTTCAACATACACAAAATAGAATGGGGAAGAGCCAGTTAGATGGTAATCGAATTGAAATATGGCACAGAATATGTCAGCCTATAAAGTTGAGGGAACCATGAGAAACTTAGGAGCTCGAGTGCAAGAATACAACTACTGGGTTGGTGGAAAACTGAGAATTAAATAAATAGACGTCTGTTTGTTGGAAGTAAACCAGTATCAAACTTGAAATACCAAGTAGAAACAGAGACAGATACAGAGAGTTATACTGGAGCAATGATGGAGTTTGACAACCACATTTTAGAGGATTTCATATACCATAATGGTAACATATATGTGACTGTCCAAAAGAAGGTGGATTATCAATTTGATGAACACTTGATAGTCTGATAGAGCATAATTGCTATTAGTAATCCCTTTGTTGGTACTATTTTTAGTTTTTTAGGTATCTTTTAGAGTAGTAAGGTAGTATTACTATTTATGGATAAATCAAATACTATGGAATACTTTAAGTGGAAAGATGATGCATAGTGGCTTACATTATGTTTATGCGTCACCTTATTGCTTGAACTAGGTTTCCACAGTAGATGCACATTTGAACATATTGTTAATATGCTGGTTCATTACTGTCAAGCAGACAGTCCTAGAACTGCTAGTATGAGTTTTATGGCTTAGAGCATTACTGTAAAGGAAACATCTTAGAGCATCCCATTGACTTTACCCATCATGCAGGAAGATATTCCTTTGTCCAAATATTTGTGGTGGGCTATCTTGAACAATTGACTTACTAGGATCACCTGCACTCCAGAACTATAGCATTTACAGCTCTTCCTTGCATCAGTTATGTAACAAAGTCAGGGTTAGCATGAAAAATATGTTAGAAGAAGAGCTTTATTTAGATGTGGATTTTCTATTTTCTGGTCTGCTGGGCCTTTCTTGTTTTCTGTGCTTGGTTGTGCTTTCTTTCAAAGGGCAACTTTGTCTGGAAGTTAATGCTTAAAACAGATTCATTGGTTTCATTGATGCAATTGGGTAGTGCTGTATAACTTAGAAATACTAGTTCTTTCTTGAGTCAATTTTTTTTTTCTTGTAAAATGAACAGTTGATGGTGAAATATTATTTCACTATAAGCAGTAAGTTGCTCCGTGGATTCTATAACCCATTGATTATTTCTGATGCAACCATTATCAGGAAGTAAATAGGATCGATTGCTGTTGTAGCACAGCGGACCCAAGGGAACCTGGTCATCAAGATCAGAGTCCCCTTTCCATTCTTGAGAATTCATTTTCAAATGAAAGCTGCTGCTACTCTGAGAGCTTTGAAAATGCCGATGGTAATAACAGATTTGTTCAGATGTTACATGATTCTTCATTTGATGTTTTTATAAAAAGTTCCATTGCTTATAAAACTTGATGGTGCTTTTCCAGGTAGCAGGACAGATTCGTCTTATTCTTCCATTCTGGATGAAGACATTGTCGAGATGGATTGCATCGACAAAACTTTGTCAGCGGAATGTGAGATGGAATTATCTGATTTAGCATCCTCAAATAAGCAGATCTTAGACTTGGGTCTAGTCTCAGAAATCGGCATAAGCGATCGTGCTGAAACTGTGTGGGGTGGACTGGAGTACGTGAAGGAAATATTAACCATCTCAGAGTTTATTTTTGATGATCTAATACTTTACTTTATGGACCAATCTGATGAGATCTTTGATCCCCTTCTCTTTGAAAAATTAGAGGAGAATCAAAGCTTGACTGCTTGTGAAGTAGAGGAAAGGCACAGAAGGATGAGGAGGAAGATAATTTTTGATTCAGCGAACGAGTGCTTGGAAACTAAATATAGTCACTATTTCCGAGCAGGTTTCCGAATGTGGTCGAAAGGTGTTGTGCTTGCTGCGAAAGACTTGTCACACGAACTCCACGATGAGATATCGGGATGGAATAGCATTGAAGACTTGATGGTGGATGAGCTTGTGGCCAAAGACATGAGTACTTATCTTGGGAGGTGGATTGATTTCGAAATCGAAGCATTCCAAGCAGGAGTAGAGATTCAGAGGTGGTTATTGGATACCTTGGTTGATGAAGTCGTTGCTGATTTCCAAATCAGTGACCCACAAGATATCTAATTGTTTCTCCTCTAAGTATCTCACTGTAGATTCCTTCCTCTACATCCTTGCAACTAATGTTGTCACGACAAATTCTGATTCTTTGGATCACTCATATCTGAGATTGTTCTTTCTTTTTCTGTAGCCAAAGTTTTCATGGATTTATGGTGAGTTTTTCAGAAGATGATGAGCAAAATTCATGGTTGGTGAGGGTTTTTGTTAGAAGATTTCATTATTTTGTTTCTGAAAGTTCCAAAAGAGAATATGAAATTGATTCTTCAAAAAATAACGAGATTAAACTAAACTAATTAAACTGATGTTATAAATATCTTGACGATATTAAAATATTAGTTTCTTAAAGAGTTTAAAGTGTTCACAGAGAATCGGTCAGCATTTGAACCCTATCCGGTCCAATTTGATTCTGGCTCAAATTTTGCTAGCTTGTCGAGCTTGACTCCCACAAAAATTCTCGCGATTTCGGTCCGGTTCAATGCGAATCTCTAAACCCGCGTCGACACACATAATTCATAGTTCACATTAAGAACAAGGCTAAAAACCTTCAGCTTATTATTTGAACCCGATCCGGTCCAATTTGATTCCGGCTCAAATTTTGCTAGCTTGTCGAGCCTGACTCCCACAAAAATTCTCACGATTTCCGTCTGGTTCGATGCGAACCTCTAAACCCGTGTCGACAAACATAATTCAGAGTTCACATTAAGAACAAGGCTAAAAATCTTCAGCTTATTATTTGAACCCGATCCGGTCCAATTTGATTCCGGCTCAAATTTTGCTAGCTTGTCGAGCTGGACTCCCATAAAAATTCTCGCGATTTCGGTTCGGTTCAATGCGAACCTCTAAACCCGCGTCGACACACATAATTCAGAGTTCACATTAAGAACAAGGCTAAAAACCTTCAGCTTATTATTTGAACCCGATCCAGTCCAATTTGATTCCAGCTCAAATTTTGCTAGCTTGTCGAGCCTGACTTCCACAAAAATTCTCGCGATTTCGGTCCGGTTCGATGCGAATCTCTAAACCCGCGTCGACACACATAATTCAGAGTTCACATTAAGAACAAAGCTAAAAACCTTGGCTCAAATTTTGCTAGCTTGTCGAGCCTGACTCCCACAAAAATTCTCGCGATTTCGGTCCGGTTCGATGCGAACCTCTAAACCCACGTCGACACACATAATTCAGCTTATTATTTGAACCCGATCCGGTCCAATTTGATTCCGGCTCAAATTTTGCTAGCTTGTCGAGCTCGGTCCGGTCACACATAATTCAAAGTTCACATTAAGAACATGGCTGAACCCGATCCGGTCCAATTTGATTTGATTCCGACGTCGACACACATAATTCAAAGTTCACATTAAGAACATGGCTGAACCCGATCCGGTCCAATTTGATTTGATTCCGACGTCGACACACATAATTCATAGTTCACATTAAGAACAAGGCCAAAAACCTTCAGCTTGGGGCGTTGCGAGAATCGAACTCGCGACCTCTCGCACCCGAAGCGAGAATCATACCACTAGACCAAACGCCCTGTACAGTATATCCAACACTTTACTTATATCTATCCTATGAGATAAATATAAGAACGCCTCCTATAACCCGTTATTAGGGTTCCATTGCGCCATGTGAATTGATCTTCCTGGAGGTACGTTTCTCTCTTCCTCTGATCCTCGCTCCCCCTTTCTTGGCTCACGAATGCACGGTACGATTTGGTAGCGAGGAACCCTAGTCGGTATTCGACGTCCTATCTTTCCGAGAAGAGATTCCTTGGATTAAGTCAAAATCTTTGATATGTTTGTGTTTTCCCCCTTTTTTTTTTCAGCTAGAGTCTCCTGCGATTAGGTCCAAATATTTGCTCTATTTGCTTTTTCCCGGATCAGGGATGCGGATTGGTATACGCGGTCTTGGCTTTTCGATCGAAGTGTTTCCCTAGAGTGAACGGGTGCTAGTGATTCGTCAAGTTCTAGCTAAAATACGTATCAAATCTCGACGTTCTTCGACTCCATGCCCTTATTCTTAGGTTCTCTAGCTGATCCAGAATCGTGATATCTCATATTAATTTTGCAGTGATTGTGGTCATTGGACTTGAAGATAAGGGAACTTTTGCTGTTTGCTTGGCCCCGAGGAACCTGTCTTGACGACGCATTGTGATGGCTCAGCCTCGCACTAATGTGAGTTTTTTTCGTAAGTGCCTTTTTGTGGAAGCGGGTTATGCTGCCGTTTACATGTCTGCTACCTGTTGTACGCATAGGCTGTTGGAGTTGACAACACTTTTCGAAGGAAGTGGGATCGGGAAGAGTTTCTTCAGAAAGCCAGAGAACGAGAAAGGCAAGAGGTGATTGCATTTACCAGCAATAAACGTATCAAGGACTTGTTGGGCAATTTGATCTCATCATTTGTTTATTTCTGTGTTTTTGTTTTGTCAAGCAGGAGGAGGGCAGATTTAAATCCAAAGGTAAACTCTATAAGGATGCCGGCCTTCTGTATGGGTTCATTGTTTCATATTGATGGCTTTTTAGTCAATCTTATACCCCTATTTGATGTCTGTATCTCAGAAAAAGCCCCTCCTGTCCAAAGGAAACCCCTGAAGCACAGGGATTATGAAGTCGACCTTGAATCCCGCTTGGGGAAAACTCAGGTTTCTTATGACACCACTTAGTTGCTTACGATTATTCTTTTCACAGAAATTTATGATGGTTCCATGATAAATACTAATTTGATGATGTGGAAGAATTTGTGCAACAAAGGGTGTTTAAATGTATGAGCTTTATTTGGTGATTAATTTACTTACTGTTGTTTTCTGGACATGCATCGTCTTTTTTTATTTGTCTAGGATCATGGCCATTTTATAAATATATAACCAGATTTGTAAATCTGTTAGCAATAATGGCAGTTACGGACTACATGTACCAAACTTTTTAGAGAAGAAAGAAAAAACAATCACCACCACCATCATCATTATGTATCTTCTCTATTCAGTGTCTTCAGCATTCAACATAAATCGAAGCTCATTGCAAGATTCTTATTTTTACCCTTACTTCCTCTATTGCACCCTTTCTTAACAAGTTATACTTGTTTTGAATTTCATGATGACTTTGTTCTGGACCAAATAAACAAAAGATGGTTTTGTCCAAAATTGGATTCTTGTTATCATTGGTGACTTTCCTGGTGAGGGAAATTCTTCCCTAGCTTTTGATTTCCATGTGTTGGGGATATGCATGGGTTTTGTGAGATGGGCTTTTAGATGAAGTCTCAGTCCAGCCATTGGAGCATATAGATACTTTTAAATTTTTAATCATTATTAATTATTTGTTTGTGGAAAAGATTCACTCTTAAGAGGCTAAGATGTGTACCTCCAAAGTGAAAAATGATTCTGTGGAGTCAGTTACATGGATATAGGTAAGGGCAATATCACTCGCCAAATTACCTGACATCAGGCCACCCAATGTTTTCCTTAATGAAGTTCTTTAATTCTTTCATCTAGTTCTCGTTACACCACTAATCCTAGGTCACTTGTCCATATGATGCATTTATGAATTTCCTTTGGACATGTGCATACTACACGAATGGTTTCTTGAATTTTATACTCAATTAGGACTTTTCCTGATCATTCATTCTTTTTATTTTTATATTTTCTAGTAATCCCACACATTTGATATCCTTATCTCATTGATGCTAACTTTTTGCACATATTGTTTCTTAATTTTTTCAAAAATCTAACACATGGAATATAGTTGGTCACCCAACTGCCTTGTTGAACTTTTCTTCTAGTCCAAGGTTCAAAAAACGTTCATACAACAATCTTGATACCCCTTGCTTCTTTAATTATGTTACTTAACTCTATTTATAATATCCTCATCAAATTTTGTCATTTGCTTAATGATAATTATGCAAGTCTTTGTTTGTCCTCTATATTTGTTCATTAATTGTAATAATACATAAATTGCTTTCAAAGATAATTTTTAAACATAAAACCAAGTTTATATTTTGGGAATAAATGCTTCATACGTTGGCATTTACTTAAAAATTCTTTTCAAAAGCATCATAGTGTTGCGATAATTCCCCTCTAAGTTGAGCGATTTTAAATCTCTCTCTTTAGTTATATCTTGGTATAAAACAAAGTTATCATCCGGTTGGTAGGGATTTTTTTAGTTTGCAGAATTTGCTAAATAATTAGTTAGCTTGACTATTTCTTGATATCATTAACTCCACATCAATGGAGTTACCTTACACTCTTGCCCACATTCATTCTCTTTGAAAGCATGCTTTACAATACTCATAATTTTTGGGGCAAATTTATGGTTCCTATCATTATCACTTCTATTTTATCTAAAATCTTTAGAATATTCATGGCCCAACATCTATAAGTTACTTGTCTGACTTCATGTTTGTATGTTATTATAATAGATCAACAAAACTTGAAAACATGTAATTGCTGGTGTTCTATTTATGACGGATCTTTATTGTCTAGGTTGTCCAAGAAAAACAACAAATTTTTTTATTGTTGCTCATAATTTACATTCTTTCATTTTGCAGGTTGTTACCCCAATAGCACCACTAAGCCAGCAGGTATTTTTTGTGGACATTAAACTGTTTATAATTACGCGAATGTGGTTTTGTGTTTTATTGGAATCTATGATGTTTTTAGCAGATTGCACAACTTTGGTGCTTCATGAAAGTATGATGTAAATTTACCACTTTGGTGCTACATGAAAGCGTGCTTTAAATTTAATTTGAAAGTTTGTTTATGTCTGATATGGGAGGGTGAATCAAAAAGATATCTTACTAATGTCGATGATAATTAAAGCATGGCTCGACTTTGATTGAAACAATTCTTCCTAACATCACAAAACAGCCTAAACTGCATATATTCGAGATTAATTTGCTTTAATTATTCCTATAGCTATTGTAAAAGTGAATCCTTCCATATCTTTGAGATTAACACTTGTACTTGTAGAAGTATTCCTTATTGGTTTTACATCTTATTGGCATTTGAACTTGTATTTTCCTTGTATATTCATGATAAGACGATTCAATATATAATTAAGCTAATCTAGTGATATCTTTAGGCACCATAGACTGCCATGTTTGTTAAGCTTAGGATGACATAATTTAGCCTTTGCAATAAGTACAGCATTAAGCATGATCACTAAGAAACCTCTTTTGAAGCCTTTATTTTTTTTTAAAGATGTTTTTTTAGGATGCAAAGAATTAGTAATAGAGTTTCTATTTTGCATGATATGAAATCATATTGAAATTTATGGTTTCTGTATTAACATCTGTGTGTATGTTTATTCTCTGTTTGAACATGTCAATATCCTCCTTGTGTATATTGTCAACTGAAGGATGGTATAAGTGAATACATTTAGATGGTATCTATGTATGAAAATCACTAGATGAGGAGAAGGCTAGTAGACTTCAATAAATTAGGAGGCGAATTATGTTGATGGTGAAGATGTAGTAAGCCATTACATGGATCAAGTGCGCAAATTGAATTGAGTACTATCCCATTAGAGGGAGAATAAACTTACATATTTGTGCTCTTGGCTGATAATTTTTGAAGCCGTGGAAGGGTAGAAGAATCAGAAACTATGCAAAAAGATTTATGGTTATAGCCATTCCAAGTTAAAGGATGTGTCATGTCACTGCCTTAGTTCTTACATGGCAACCAATGAGAGATAGATGTTGGTACCTAATCGGTTCAATTGATGGCTTTTAATACTATTATGTGAGAAAATATTGTTGAAGGCACTAAGCCTCTTATATATCTCTATTGCCATAGTTATTATCAGTCGTGATTACTGCTTATTTGATTTGAAAAGATGGTGGATGACTTGACTGCAAGCCATAACTCAGCTCTTTCATTGTGTTACTATATCATTTCAATGGTTCTGCATCATTGCCCATCATAATTTCATCTACTACATATCATGTTAGATTCCAATTGTTGATGGATGTTTCAAAGGAACATTGCTTTCAAAGAAAAAATAATAAAGAAATGTTTGGTATCCTTCTAGAAAGGAAACTTAATCATCGCCTCTTTGGTTGACAATGTTTTTTTTCCACCTTATGTTTGATTTTCATTTAATTTATGCTCCATCACCCTACAAAAAATATGCAGCTATACTGCATTTAATATAATCATATTGCACTATCACCCTCTCCAAAAAAAAACACACACACACACACACACACACAAAAGCACAAGAAAAAAGAGTAGGGAAGGAGGCAAAAGTTATTGGACACCCAGACGTTTTCCTTGAAAACTCAGAAGTTACCATATATAAAGCAGTCCCTCTTTATTGAAATTCCTCTTATTGGAAAGCCCGAGATGCTTTAAGTATTAGAAACATGACGGCTGAGACTTCTTCAATTGATAACTTAGTCATGAAGTCCATGTCATTCAATTTGCTAGTGAATAGATGCCTTGTAGGTTTTGGTCTTCAATATAATGGGTTTGTATTTTGCAGGCTGGATACTACTGTGCAGTCTGCGAATGTGTTGTAAAAGATTCAGCTAATTACCTGGATCACATCAATGGCAAGAAACGTATGTGACTTATGCCCTTTTTTACTATTGTTGGGCATGACCTGACTTGGAAGGTTCACTGATGCTGGCGGTTATTGACTTCTTGTTCTACCCAGATCAGAGAGCTTTGGGCATGTCTATGCGGGTGGAAAGGGCGACTCTTCAACAGGTATGACTTTATTCTTAGTTGATTAAGAGCAAAAGTTCTGAACAATTATCGCCATTTGAATAAAGTAACCAATTATTTTGAAGGGCTTATTCTGTTACTTTTTAGTGAAACAATAGTGATCTATGCTTTGTAGACTTTTAATCTGTGTTGGGATATTTTTATCGAGATAGTTGTTATCTTATATGGGTTCGAAGAAAAATGAATAGATGAAGACTGGCTCAGATGTGAAACAGCCGACGTATATGATGCATTGTTGTATCTACGATGTGGCTTGATTGCAGTTTGTTCATGTAATCTTGGCATACCGCTATGCGAGGATCAGAGTGTTTCTTGTGCCGAAACTTACAGATCATATGCCAATATAAGGACCTCATATATGAAATAATTGTTTAAATTTTCATGCTCAAACTATTGATTGATTTCCCTAATATTATTTATATATTCTTATTCTATCTTTTTTTGCAGGTCCAAGAACGATTTGAAGTGCTTAAGAAGCGGAAAGCTCCAGAGGGCTTCACTGAGCAAGGTAAGAAATTGAGTGGATTGTTATAGCCTTATAGTTGTCTTGTTTGGTTTTGTCAATCATTATTACAGTTATGCAGCGTGGTGAATTTAAAATGGGAGCTATAGGCCAATGTCCACATCTTTGTATAAAAATGAGTGGGAACTAATTGCTGGTTCTCATACCGGCTAGCTTTATAAACTTTAATGTGCTTGCTTCAGATTTGGACGAGAGGATAAGAAAACAGCAGGAAGAGGAGGAGGAGCGGAAGCGTCTGCGTCGAGAAAAGAAAAAGGAGAAGAAGGTGAGCAGTTCTCATGCTTATGGTTTGGACTGGGAATCTTTTTCCCGTTGCTATTTGTTTTCTACCTTTTTTGTCATCTTGCCAGATTTTCTAGACTTGGCAAATAATATGACTCTGTTTGGATATGTGAAGATAAAATATAGATACCACCACTTCATCTGATGGTTGGCTTCTTTTTGGAACTTTGTGAGATGAGAACCAAGAAAATCAAACTTAATTTTATCATTGATAAAATTATACCATTGCTTGCACTTCTGATTTTCCAGACTAATTTAAATTGCTTATAAAGGAGTTAATCATCATGGAACATGTGCTTATTTCTCCACTCACAAGTAAATAATTACATGAAAGGATAGATAGATAGATAAATTTAGTAGGTTTTGGCAGCTTTTGCTATCAGTATCAATGCTGTTGATGGTTTGGCCCAGCACAGCAAGAACTTTGGAAGTTTTGCATGTGAACCTACAAACACATGAAAAAGTAGCTAAACATTGTGGCAAGATTTTCTTTATTCCTTCTTTATTGATCCGAGGCAACATTTGATTATGGAAAACATTTTTTCGTACATATACTGTGTATGCCTGCATTCATTGTATCTCCTGCTCTGATTACTAACCAGCTCAGCTTTGGGTTTTAGAAAGAGAAGGCTGCCCAAGAAGAAGTCGACGATGTCGATCCCGATGTTGCTGCGATGATGGGCTTTGGAGGTTTCCGATCATCGAAAAAGTGATACGTGGGCATCGGCTGCATGGATCTTCCAACCTGAAACACTTGTAATGGCTTATTATCATCGGCTGGAAGTCCTCTCGATCTCACTCTCGTTGAACTGCAAACCTGTCTGTAATGTCATGATTGATGCTAGAGTTTTTTGAATTCCTAAATTGTGCAGAAAATGTTGGGTTTATCCACCAAAGCCAAAACAGTATCAGTTGACATCTAAAACCAGTTTTGGTTTGCTAAATTCATAGTGGCGGTGCACGGCAGGATTGGGTTTGTTTGATGACACCATTATCGAAGTGGGCAGTGATCCGAGTATGCTTGTCGGTAATGAATGCTATTTGTTTCTGCCACCAGCAGCCCTTTGAAATAGTGAATGTTGAGACATGGAATTATCGATTAATTAATTGTTGCTCAAGCAATAGGTTTTATGTTTGAGTTAATTTTTTTTAATGAAAATTTTTCAAAGTCTGAGTTGCATAAGAGATAGTTATAAGCATAATGTAATGTAATGAATTAAATATATATATATATATATATAATATTTAAAATAGGGATGCATGTTTACATCCAAAATTTCTGAAGTGTGCAAATAGATATTAAAAATAAAATCATAAGATTTATCGTAGCTTAAAATTATATTTCTAAAAAAAATATAAAAGAAAAAAAATGACTGGCATTGCAGACACAATAAATAGCATGGTTAATTAGGAAAAGGTTAGCAAACGTATCACCACCATAAAATACTACTGTCCTCGAGCTCTTTGCAGCTTGGGGGACACAAGATAGGAGGAGGTTGGACCAACTATTGCGTCGTCAAATTCTCGTGAAAGGCACATACGCCATGTTTGGTACGAGAAAATAAATACTAAAGAAACACGGTTCTGAATCTTCTTTGTGCAAGCCACATCAATCCTGAACATGTTCCCCCCACAACCTGATAGCTGAAGCCCAACAAAAAGGTATACCCGACGAGAAATTATAGCTAAAAGTAAGCCAACACCAAAAGAAAAACCTCTGAAACCTCGTTTAAGTGCTCCGCAAAACAAATGGACATATCTGGATGAAAGGCATGAGCAGCCTGCCTCAATCGAAACCCAGACTCCGATCAGATTTTAATGTTGCAAATCAAAATTTCCATGGACCGACCCACTGTGAGAGAACCAAAGGAGTTCCATATCAAAACCGACCGACCAACGAGGATCATTTGGCTTGCAAAGTTTTGAAGTTTCCATATACGGTCTCAGGCCATGAGACGCCAAAGACTCGACCCTACTTGATGTACTGGGAAAGCCACTTGAAACCATCACCATAACCCATCTTACGTACGATGCTGCACATGAAGATCTCAATGGGGCGGACGTTGGAGTCTGTTAGGTTCACCTTGCCCTTGCCGGTTGTGAAGTTGTTCAGACCTAGGTGGAAGCATAGCTCTTCCTCTGATGCTGCATATGGAATGTCAATCTTGTTCCCTAGAATGAGGAACGGGACATTGGCCAGGGCATCATCTGATAAAAGTGCATCCAGTTCCTTCTTTGACTCTGCTAATCTCTCCTTGTCATATGCATCCACCAGGTATACCACCGCATCCACCTATTTAAACAGCAAGTAAAACACAGCCTTTTAGAAGGTTTACAAAATCACATCTATCATACAAACGAATACAATGATCTGGAGAGGCAGAGGCTTAAACTATAAATGCACAAAGTAATTGGACATATTTTGGCTGAAAAACTACAGCATTGATAGCTTGGCTGATAATATGTAGTTTGCTGATTAGATAAGAAGATTAAAACATACCAAAAACTGTAACAAGAACCTAAGATTTAATGGTGCTCCATGAGAAAGAAATCTAAAGTAGCAGGCACAGGCACCTAAAAAAGCATCAAGAGATCCAAAGTGAATCGAGTTCCTTGAGTGGCATCCATAACAAAGAAATAACTCATTTAAGGGTGAATAGATGTGGTGATCTTTACAGTAAAAGGAGACCACTGCCATGCAAAGCAATGTCAGGTGATGTACCGGATTACCTTTTTTTTTCTTCCAAAACCAACTATGCAAAGCAGTGTTAAGTAATGTATTCCAAAACCAACTAAACATATAACTCATCTTATTATATGGGCTTATGCCAAAAGTTCATAAGTAAACTTATAACTCAACTTATCAAAGAAACTTTTTCCAAAACCAACCATACAGGTAAGGCATACAGGCTTATGCCAAAAGCTTCGAGCTCAACTTATTGTACATCTTATAGATTGGGCTTGCTGTTGGATTATAGGCTGCTTCACCTATTGTCATTTTTATACTAAAACAACAGTCTTGAATCTCTTGATTACTTGGTAAGATCTGGTATCCGGCCCAGCCCATGCACGGAGGTGATCTGGCACAACACGACCCTCAAATGCACATACTTGATTGTAAAAAATGAGAAGAGAGTTAGGACACCATTCTACATGCCGCTCTTGTGCATGTCTTTTTGCAGCAATGGCAGTGGAAATGGAGAAACGGAGAACGAGAAAGGAAGCAATCAGGGGGAGTTGGAGAAAACAAGGAAAACAGGTAAGTGAGGCAATCAGGGAGGATTGGATCGGATAGAGGGGTTCAGAGAGTCAAATTGTTAGACAAGCACACCCCTAATTTCTTCTTGTGATGGATAGACGAGAGCCATTGCAGGCCCACCTGTGTCGGTGGGCTAGCATGACATGTTGCCAGGTCAGATCAGCTACATGGTGTGTGTTGCAAAACCAAAGTATGGCATGAGCAGGATCAAGCCCTGGGCAAGACTGTGGCAGAGTACTATAACAACTCGGGTCATACTGCCAATGGGCATCCCACTCCTCCAGACCAGTTGGTAGGCTAACAAGATAATTAAGGACTAGCTATGAGCATGCTTTCCAAACAATTTAATTAGCTTATGTATCGTATGCCTTGCGGGCACAAGTAATATGTTAAATTCTAAAATGGCTGCATCATTTACAATCCTTATTGCATTTCTTTTTCTCAAAGACGTCATATTGATGCACCCTCATCATGCTCTCGTGTGGACTATCCTCACAACACTCATCATGCGCCATGCTTCTTTATTTCAGAACAATGATTTTTTATGTGAAAACAACTAAGTTCTTCCTAAAGTTAGGTAATTGTGGGATTTGCTTCCAAAATGACTTTTATTTCAGTTGGTTCAGGCTTATAGAAACAGAGTCACATTAGAATCAAGCCAAATTTCAACAATACTAGAATTCGAGAATATGCTCCTAAAGAGTATGATACTCAGAGTTGGACTGAACACACAGCCAAGGTTATCTATTTGCTTCCTAGATCTGTGATATGCCCAAAAAAGATGGACACAAAATAGATAAGATCTTATGGCTGAAGTCAGAAATTGTGCATTGCCATGGGTGAACAAAGTTCAAACGTCAAATATCACGGAACAGAAAATACGTAACAGCATAATATTCTGGTTTCTCAATTCAACGCCACGAGACATATGAAAACGAAAACTAAACCACAGCTAAAAGATATGTGATCCAACACATGACCTGATGATCACCGAAATCATAAAAAAAATCTGTATGTGGACTGAAACAATATCAAGGAACGAATGCATATAGGCCATTGAAAGATTACCTTTGGGTGAAACGAGTAAAATTCAATTCTCAAAATAACCAAAATGAAGATTACAGGCTTCAAACGGAGGAGAAGTACAAGCAAAATGCAGTAAACTCCGAACCGAAAAGCAAACAGAGTGTAGAAAGTTGAGAGACCTTAGCATAGTAATCCTTCCAGACACGTCGTGCAATCTGGTGCCCTCCCAGATCAAAAGCCTTGAACTTGATTTTCCCGATGCTCAGCTCCTCCGACGTGGGGTGCTGCGTCGGCTGATGCTGGACCAATCTCTGCATTCGAACAAACTAATTACAACCAACACATCCTTAAATCGAAGAAAACTAAACCGACACAACTCTCTTATCAATGACCGACGAGAAATCTAACGAAGGACGAGGGATCCGACCTCGTCCTTGAGCATATGGAGCAGCGTGGTCTTGCCGGCATTGTCAAGGCCCAAGAACAAGATCTTGGCCTCCTTCTGCCACAGACCCAGAGAGGCGAGGACTCCGTAGAACCAATCTATCAGGAACATCGCGGGCGGAGAGGAGTTCCACAAGACGGACGACCAACTAAACGCACGATCAGGATCGGATCCGGCGACCGGAATCGATTCCGGGGCCGTGAGTCCCCGATATGCTCGTCAAATGGGAACGAGACAACGGAAGACGCGGAAACCCTAACGCATAACGGCAAAATAATAAAAGGAAAATAAAATGAGGCGTGAGGGTATGTATTATTCCGTGGTAGTCAAAGCTGTCTTTCCTTTTTTTTTTTCTTCCTCCGTTGAGTTGGATGCGACTCAAATACTTTTTATATACTAAAAGCCTCTCTCGATCGATTTCCTCTTTTCTATATTACGTGATGATAGCTATTGCATCAGGGTAAAGATCTTTATGGCTATTTAGGGATATCGATCAACCATATTTGTAACGTATGCATTTAAAACTAAATTATGGAAAGCTATAAATGAACTTGAGATACAAAAATGCTCCTCGTCACATTTTGATTTGCATATGCCTCCTCCTTTCTCTTCTGTTTACGGACTCGATTGTACAGCCAAAATAGTAATTATACGTGTAAGCATCTATACAACTTTTGTATATGATTGTTATCTGTTCAATAACATTAGGCATCTAGAAAGATCGAGTGTTGTTGTAGGTTACCTAATCAAGCCATATTGCAGCAGAGGAAAAAAAAAAATATGCACTTCGTATTAAGGGAGCTACTGTTGGATTCCATGAGGGCAAAAGTAGCAGCAAATGCTACTTTTCATCTTGACTTGCACATTTGCATGACACAACCACAACACCGGATATATCACAATCAAAACACCAGAAATAAATGACAAATGAAAGTTGTTGTTAGTTCATTTAAAAGCTACTGCATCCTGAAGAACTAAATGAAGCTAAAAGTTGAGGTCCAGAAACATAGTGACAGAAGCAACCATGCTGCTGTGTGCTCAAATTGTTCTCTTCAAGGACTAAGCCATCAATTTGTCTGTAGACTGCTGGCGAAAATTGTAGCAGACTCTGTCAGCTTCTTCCTCTAAAGCTCATCCTGAAACCATCAGGAGAATAATTTTACAGATACACAACTATACAGATCCAACAACTATAATTGCACAAAATCTCTGGGAAAAACAGGGAGACATCAGAGCTAAGAGAATATTACATGGGGAGTTTCATTGTCCTCTTCTGCATCTGAATCAGACTTTGAATCAGCATCTTCTGCATCATCCTCATCTTCGTTCTGCCCACAAAATGCAAAGGGTGCCAAAACAATTATTAAAATATGGGAAAAAGAAGATGCACAAAGAAATATCATTTTGAAGCTTACATCTAAATCTGATTCATCATCCTTGGCTTCCTGTTATAAGAGGAACAAGAGAACTTGTTTAGAAAGGTACTCTACACCCCCGAAAAGGTCAACAGAACCATGGAAATTAATCTAAGCATAGAACCAGTTAAATAAAGAGCTTCCGTTGAGCCAAAAGGGAAAACAAATGGCAGATGAAATGTCATCCACATTGCCTCTAGATCATTGAGGGAGGTAGGCACCCAAACATGCACATATGTTGTGGATTAAGCAATGCAATCTATCAATCCGAATATATACCTAATGATCGAGACCAAGTTAGCATTAACCACAATCAAATTTTCAACACAATATAAAAAGGGAGAAAAACACTTGGTAAGGGGTGTATACATCCCAAACTATCGCTGATGGGGACTCTATATGGGCTTTACGGACGCAGGCAAGTGTGTCAAGGGGCAAACTTCCGGAGTCCCATTGAAAGGAAAACTCGGTGGTTTGGAAGAGAGACTATACTAAGCAGGGAAACGACTTGAAAGGGTATCTCCTAGAGTGCAAATTAGGTCTTGCAAGGCCTTTTGGTATTTATGCACCATTGGGGCCAAATGCTAATAACACCAAGGGAAGAAAACTCTCGCTAGAAAGCAACATAAATATTCCGCTCTTAACCTCCTTCCCCATCCAACAACCATGGTTTTGTAGCATTTAAATAAGACAGCGTATGGAAGGAGCCTAGAGTAGAAGAAGGCTCCCTATGTGATTCTCAATTCATAAGTTCAACACCAAATGGAGGACAGTGGATCAACCACTCGTGAAAATTACAACCAGATTTTAATGCACTTTCTAAAATGGTCATGATATGACGTAAAGTCCAAAAAGCTCTCTCTTAAATCTCAGAATTTCCCTCACAGACCCTAGGAACCCAGAAACTTGTAAAATCTTCAGAAAATAGTGTGTTGGATAATATATTTAAATCTAGATAACTTGGTTGCTTTCTTAATTTACATATCTGAAGAAACCACCTAATTTATCAAAACATATTTATGTCAAATCTAATCCATGCAATCATTATGTATAGAAGTCTACCTAATTGGAAAAGTAATCTATATGAAGATCTAAATTAACTCACACAGCACCAAAGGCATTGCACTTGTAACACAACTCAATATTTCAGGAATCTATGTTAAGAAATGAGTAGAAAGACATTTTGTCATCAATTGGTTATATAAGAACAGAATCTCTTCAAACCCCAGCAATCTTTATCTATTGTATAATCTTTGAAAGAAAATGCAATAGTTTTTAAAGAAAAATAGCATGGAAGGATATGCATATGTCACTGAAAAAACAACAGGATATAAGAACTACTGAGGTGAGAAAAATGCCAGCATACCTCTTCTTCTTTCTTTTTCTCAGCCTCATCAAATGCAGCCTTTTCAGCCTGAAAAATAAAATAAAAGAATTTAGTAGTTGATTATTCTATGAGATACTGTCAACAATTGGAATTTTGAAACACCTACATCCTTAAGCTTGCCCCATGTTTCTTCGGCAATTTTCTTAGCATACTCAGGGTCATCACAGACCAAAATATTGTCAAATAGTGACCCAGCTTTGACCTGAAAAGCACATAAGGTTGTCATACACTCAATATGGAAATTAGACTCAAGTGGAGGGAATTGTAGCTTTACCTGCCACAACTCAATGCCTACATATCTCAAGTTGGGGTAAGCATAAATGTAGGGATCGTCCTTGAAATCTGCATGGAGATTAAAGGTCAAAGTCAACTGACAGAAAAGGAAGAACATACTAACTTCAAAGTGACAAAAAAGAAGTACCTGGATTGTCAATCATTGGTGCTTTCCACTTCCCCTTGTAATTAGGATTCTTGATTTTCTGTAAAGAGAGCAAAGCAAATAATCAGGATTTTCAATCAAGCTCTAATGCTGATGCTAGTTAGAAAGACTAGCTCTATAGACCTTTTGCTTCCAGGGTCCCTTATATTCAGGGTTTGGAATGGTTGGGGCTGTCCATTCGCCATCTTCTTCTTCATCCCAATCTTCTGGCTGGACAATTACACAATAGCAAAAGATGGTGAGAGTACATGACACAAGAACAACACTTCCTAGAAGCAGTACTAAGAAAATTATACCTTTGTCGCATGAGGATCAGGGATCTCCTTAGGAATGTCATCATACCCCTTCATCAATAACGTTAAGTTAGTTTCATGTCATCAAAAGGTACCATACATCAAGATAAAATAAATAGGAATAGCGTGTAAGCAACAAAAAGCATAGATGTATGTTTCTTATTGTCATGCAAAGAAATATAAGATGAAAATTAAAATGATCAATAATAGCAAAATATACAATACATATACACACACAAAAATTCATGCACAAGCACTGAACAAAAAACCCATTATATATAATCGCAAATATATATATATATATATATATATATATATATATATATATATATATATATGCACACACACACACGCGCACATGCACGATGTATATGATCCACTTTTTTCCTATCAAAATACTGAACATGGCAGCACTGAATTTGATACAGAACAGAAAATTGCAGCCTTTTTGCAAGCCAAAAAACAACAGAGTGCAAAGTCATTCAACAGCTCTATTATACAAGGGGTAAATACAAAATATTACATCGACATCTCCCCAAAACAAACAGTAAAGAACTACAAACTCTGGCACAGTGCCACCTCATTGCCTGAGCAAAAAACCAAACCAAAACAGGAAAAGGTATGATAATAAAGTCAAGATTACCTCTGGTTTCTTGTCCTCGGGATCAGGGATGTATTCCTTGTCATCCCAATCTTCTGGCTATGACATCAGACAATTCAATCAAATAAATGCATACAATCAAAGAACACAATCCTCAGCTAGTTAAGATTAATTACTAGAAGGTGCTTACCTTCTTTGCATCAGGATCCTTAATTTGCTTTGGGGGAAGGATATCCCAATCATTATATAGGCTACCCGTTTGCTTCTCATTGTTATCGATAAGAATAGTATACGTAGCATCAGGGCGGACAACGAAAGTGTAAACATGAGTTAGCTGGTCAGTCTCGCAAGTAACTTCTTTCTTGATCAAGTGGTTCTTTCCATCACGTGTGAAGATAGCATGAACCTTTTTGGTGCTGAACCCACAGATATCAGGCCCAAACATGATACTGCAATTTCAAAATGCAGACAATCAATTTGGATTACTAAAAAGGAAAATAAATATGAAGGTACAGTGTCAGTTGCCATATGGAAGGGAATCAACGAAGGTAAAAAGTACCTATAGGGGGTCTCTCCACCAAATTTCTTCTGATCAATTTCACCACTTAGCAGCTTAATGTAGCCACCTCCGCAGTCAAGTTTCTGTTCATGTTTAACTGAGAATTGCAAGACTAATGTCTTATCCTTGTTGCTGAACTCAGGAAACTCAGCTGAAATAGCATAGAATCTGTAGTCTTCAGTGGTCTGGATGCCTGCAGTAAAGGAATTCATTAAACCAAGAGATCACTACATCAACAAAAGGCATCCAAATTTTTCATAGTGGAATTATAATTATTCGATATTAAGCTTTGGACGGCAGCTTTACAACAAAGATCATACAATGATATTTACAATCTATAGAGGAGTACCTTTATCTTCGGGATCACCAGTCCATTTGCCAGCGGTATGGTTCCAGTCGCCAACCATATTCTCATCCTTCTTCCAATCAGATTTGACCCACCGATTCTCCCATCCATCTTCAAATAACAAAAGAAATGCAGAGAAATGGATCAATCGAGTATAATGAAAATCCATTCATTTGTGATCGTTGTACAATATAAATTAACTTCTTATTCTAAATAAATCCTGTACTGCAATCTGGCATGTCGCAGCATTTGATAGGAAGATTTAACACATCACACGTTTGGCAAATATTGTCAGAACCATCAAACTAACAGCCACGACGATCGTGAAGCCTCGATGAGCAAACAATTAAAACAAACAGAAACGTCTAAAACACTATCTTTCACAATAGCGGGGATAAAGCTGTAAATCAACAAAAATAAGAATCGTTGCATCATCAAAGTCCAGGTGAAAGAATATATCAGTATTTTCCCGCCGCCTCCTGTCCAAGACTGAAAAAGGTCAACGCAAAGAAAGAAAGATTTCTATCCACCGCTCCATCAACTTCACTATAAATCACGCGTCAGATGTAATGCATCGATCTATTTAATGAATCGTAGCCTGTACAAGCAAAATGATCGAAAAATCATATGCATCATCGTCGGCGGATGGCCGCCAAACTACAGATCGTTAACAGAGAAGTAGGGAGATCATATCAGAGAAGAAGGATATCCAACGAGAGATCGAAGTAATGGCTGCTACCGAGCGTAGAAAGAGTAGTTCAGATCGCAGATCTCAAGTGAGATCGGGAAGGCGCACATACCTCCGAATCGCTCCTCGAAGTAGACCTCAGCGGAGGCGATCGACATGACGGCAAGCGTGACCGCGATGGCGGCGGCGAGGGGAGACCTCCTCCGTATCGCCATTTTGAGCTCCCCCTATCGTCTGTCTATCGAGCTTTACTACTTGGATCGAGACGGAGGAGTCGAGGTTAAAAGATAAATAGAAGAAGAGATAGAGTAGTACAGTATCCATCCGGTGCTCTTACCTCACCCTCAACTATGCTCGGCCAAAAGGTTGAACACCCAATTGATCGTTGCCACGTGGCAAATCGACGTGTCTGGACTTCTGTGGAGAACATATGACAGACGGCGGTAGGGCTGCTCCAAGGATTTTTTTCTTTTAATTACCAAAGACTAATGTGGAATTTCCACCTAAATATTAGGCCTACGATTGTCAAATATTTACGTCAGTGCCACTATCATTATCCCTACGATGGTTTATTAACTGTATTTTCGAGAACAAAAGTGAAATTTATGGCTAACGAGAAGGGCATGTTGGACATTGAATTCAAATAATAAGTAAGAAATGGAACTTGATTTCTTGCTGACGATGGACGGTTACGTGGCATTTCGTCAACATGTCAGTGTGACTAGGCTCGACCAAGCACGAGAGCATGGTCGAATCGAGCAGTATTTAGTGGGCGTTCCACAAGCTCTGCCCTCGGTTTGACCCATCTCAACTTGTATCATGATTTTTATTTTTAAATATTTTATAATTTAAAAATAAAATAAATAAATTTTATTTATCATGATGTTATCAATTATATTGATGAAAAATATAACACGTGACACCATTTATTGGATCGATACGAAAGTTATATATAAAAAGATAATTTAAACGTCTATGTGCGATATTAAAATTATTTTTTTACTAGTAAAATCATTATAAATAGAAGAGTTATTAAAATTATTTTTTTGTTATTATTTTTATATCGATTTAACACATGGTGTTTTGTGTTATGTTTTCTATCAATGCAACTAACGACGTCAGAATAAATAGAGTTATTTATTTTATTTTTAAAACTATAGAAATCTCAATTTAAATTTTCTAAGTACAAAGATCATATAATATTAATAGGGTCCAAGTATAATGGATAATCTGTAATTAATTCTGCTATTTTCGTGGTTAGGCAATCTATATAGGTTGAACAATGTCTTAAGTTTACCATATCCTTGTCACATCTTCGTGTTAGCAACAATAACTAAATATATCATGACTTAATGTCGTCTTAACCTGTTTTAAGATGATGTACCCCGAGGTAGAGATCGAAGAAGATCCATTCACCGAGTATCTCAAATACCAAAATATTCTAATAGCTACCTATGTCCTCTTTAACGATGACCCTAATTCGTCACCTCTCTCTGATACTTAGTCTATTGTATTATCACGTTATGTTGACATTCTCTAAGTTGTCGAGTATGTCTACCCAACTTAATCCTTATATCTTTATTTTGTTGCATCATTGGCTTGCCCACTCAATTAATCTTTTACTTCATAAGTTGATGTCTCATTTTAGATATAGAGGCTTCGTCAAGTTGGTATAATCTTTCAAAATATTAAAACTTTCTTTCCTTTAATTGAATGAAAATATTTTTTTTATATAAATAGCATCAAAGACATGTAAAACCAAGGTTTGATGCTTAAGGCATAGTCATCCCAACCTGACACTAAGGGATGTCTAGCAACACCACTCTCTTTGTTGTTTTGAGGTAATCGGTTTCATCTTGGACGACTTTGATGACTAAATAGAGCACTTCTTATTTGGGTTGCTAACTTTAGCTTTTCAAGCACCAAGTCCCTTGATTCAACTCCTCGTAGGTGAACACCTCAATTGCAAATCATAGTCATCGATTTCTTATATCTCAATACCCTTATGTGTGTTTCTGCTCTTACTTTTTATTATTAAGTCATCCACATGAACTTAAATATTTCTCTTAATACGATGCTTAAATATTTTGTTCACTATTTTTTGGTATATTGCTCTCATATTTTTTAACTTAAAGGCATGACTTGATAGCAATATATGTCTCGGTATGTGATGGAGGTATATTCCTGATCCTTTGACGCTATTCTGATTTGATCGTACACTGAAAATATATCTATAAAGGTAAAAAGCTCGTGACTCAAGGTAATATTAATTGATTAATCAATCCGAGGAATATGATAACTATCTTTTAGGCATGCATTGTTGAAACGAGATAGTCAATACATCATTCAGTTTTCATTAGATTTTTTAATGAGTATAATATTGGTGAGTCATTGAGGGTACTCCATCTCGACAATAAACCCTGCTCCAAACAATTTATCTACCTCTTCACTAATTACTCTATGATAGTTAGGAGCAAACTTACAATGCTTTTATTTCATTGATTATGTTTTGAAAAAAATGTTCAAATGATGTTGAGCTATGTTGGGGTCAATTCCTGATATGTCTGTCGGTGACCATGCGAACACCTTAGTATTCTCCTTGAGAAAGTTGATAAATTGCACCCGCCTCTCCCCATGAAGGGTTTTCCTAACCTTGATAGTTTGGGTGGGTTGGGCTTTATTTAGGAGTACCTCGATTAGCAACTCTACCAGATCAAGATATGGGACAGATTTGATTAAGTCTCCAGGGTTTATATGTGATATCTTAGGCCGAGACCATCATCAAGTAGCACTGTTGTAACTCTCTTATGTTACTTCTAAGCTCTCTAATATTGGCTCTCATTAAAAATTTTATTATTACGTGGTAAGTTAACATTATCGTCTTTAATCTATTTAGTATAGGTACGATTGTTTGTAACCATCATAAACTCAATCAATATTATTTTAGATTAGGGCTCATATTTGAATGTGACATATAGCTTTATAACACTGAGAGGTAAGATAAAGTCGCAAGTGAACCCTAGTAGTGATAAAGTTATTAAGGTAAGGCTATTAGTGACAACCTAAGTTTTCAAAAAGCATCAAAGGATATTAATAGAGTTACTTATGTCGATTACGACCCTCTTCACTTGAGCATTAATCATCCATATAGAGACTACCAAAGCATTGTCATGATTCAGACCGTGATACTCCACCTCTTCCTCATTGAAAGTTATCTCCTAATCGCTTTTCATTCTCGGATGCTTTTCATTGGTAACTCAAGTATAAACTTTACAACTCAGAGTCCTCTCCCCTCCCCTCCTGAGGCAAGTCCACTAATTATAACATCAATTTGCCTCTCCACTAGCCCCAGAGGTTGGGGTGAAAGTTCCGGGTGCTTTCAAATGAACTGCCTAAGGTGCCCTCGTTATATGAGCTTTTCAATTTGTTCTTTCAGGTCATGATATTTTTTGATATCATCATCGTAATCTTAGTGGAACTATAATACTTGAACTTATCTCATTTCACTAATGGGTTTTTCATTAGATGAGGGTCTCTTAAGAGCCCCTTCTTTATATGTAGGAAAACTTTGATTTGTTATATTTAGATATGTCAATTTTGACCTTAGATAGGATACTTTGGCTGCTATACTATGATGACCTCGGGGTCGAGACTAATAGTGGCTGCTCCTGCTTTGACCTCTTGCATGACTCCTTATACTTGATTGAGACCATTGTCTTAGCAATACCTTGATTGACCCTTTGAAGTACCTAGGGTATAATTATTGGTGGTCTCCCTATCAATAACAAAAAAGATGAGAAGGCTTGAGCCCCATTATGAAGGTCTACATTATGAGTAATGATGAATAACTATTATGCCTCGATCTCATTTGTAAACTGAGCAATAAAATTTGTAAGTGTTTCTTTCTCCTCATGCCTAAGTCTAAGGACTATTGTCACCGAAGACCAAGGGCATACTTTCCTTTTGAAGTGATATTCAAACCCCAATGCTAGCTTGGGTGAAATAGTATATGAAAAGTGGCTTTAAGCAAGTGTACCATTCTTATATATGGCCTCTTAATGTGATCGAGAAGGTATGACACATTAGGACATCCGAGATATCATATAACGACATTTAGGCATAGAACACTGTAATATACTCCATCGGATTGATAATACAACTGAATGCTTCCATGGGTGGGAGATGAATATTTGTTGAAATTAGTTCCTCTTGGATTTACTAGGTGAATGATGATCGACTTGTTTCAAATTCAAGTAGGGCAAAGTGAGGGCGGTATGATTCATTGAATTTCATGATTTATGACTAAAGTGCACCATTGGCCATGGGTGCTCTTGAGATGTCAACATCGCGTCGGGTTGAGGAATCTCGATGGGCACCATTGGTCATGGATTTGGGGACTGTGGCTGAGTTGGTGGTATCATCTGTTGGACTAGTTGGGAAAAAAGTGAATCAACGACCTATATTATTCTTGTTAACATCTGTACTTGGTGAATGAGATTTAAGAACACCTCAATGAGAATGAGGAGGTGGACCAAAGTCATCCTTGGAGGTGAGAGACCTAGGACATTAAATATGAACTAGTATTGTATTGGAGTCTACACGGAGGTGGATGCATCAATGTCCAGAAAGGGTGGCTACTGCCTCCTTTGGGTGAAAATATTATAAGTTAGGTACAATGCCTTTTTGCTCAAGTGTTCATTGAGAGGATCGACGAACGGATGTTCGTGCAACATTGGGTCCTCTTTTTAATAGCAAAAATATCACGTAAAAATATCATTGATGCCTGAATCAACCCGATGTGGTTTAGACTCATGTACACATGAGTATCTGAGGGGCCTTCGAGATGGAAATATCGAGCTTCCGAGGAGATTGTCCGAAGTACCACCTACACGAGGACAGGTTGGGAAAAGTTTCTCGAGTCAGTCTCTCCGGTGGTTGAGTTAATAATCCAAGATAGATAAGTACGATCACTAATAATCGAAAAAATAACATATTAACTATGTTGAAAGTGAACTTTTATACATGATAGTAAAAGGATGTAATATTATATAAAATTCTTTTCGGGAGAATAACATTTAATTATCTTTAAGAGACAATCTATAACGAGTTACTTTCGACAATAAGGATTAGCGTTTTATCGCTAAGGAATAACTATGTAACTTTTATGATAATTTTTTTTAAAATATAATTATTATTCAAGGTAACAATGTGGATAATATTTTTTTATTAGTATGTCATTGTAGGTCTATATTCCATGATTGTACGAATCCAAAGTCGA